TATTAGAAAACCTAGAATAACTATTTTAGTTATTTTGTTGTGATTGAATAATATTATTCGTGGATACTTGAAACTTCTAAAGTGTACTATTATATATCTAAGATAGTATCACGGTTTTTGTTGATGTATAACGCGTTATAAGTACCTAATGGATATTTTGATATGATTAATTTTGGAATTTATTATAGGTCAAATTTTGGTTTAGTACCATAGATATGTATATAATATGTCTTATACCTAGACTGACATACCGTCTCCGCTCAGAATCGTTTTTCTTATACAATGATATTATATCGTTGAATTCAAATTTAATATCATCCATTATACAGTGACCCACTTGTAACCTACTGTACAGCAGAGCGACACCCACTTGCCCACCTTTTTTTCTTATAACTATACCTTTTTAAATACTTAAATAGTTATATTAGTAATCTAAAATGCTGAAAAAAAATTTTTTTTTACTTTATTGGACGCTTTAAAATAATATATATTGGGGATAAAGATAGTGCCCCAAAATTAATGGGTCCCTGAACCATGCCCCTCTGAATCCGGGCTTGGTTTTGAGAAGTTTTAGAGCGCTAAAACTTCTTTCTACAGTTTCACTGCTGACTGGAAGTGTATAAAATATTTTATACAAAGTATATAAATTTGAATACGAAGACACCATGTCTCGTGATATCATGAACTTCAATACTTCATTTAATTTTAAAGGTCAAGTTAGGTACTCCAGTTTCAAAAGTATTGTCATACACTCGTTGGTAAACTAGACATAATGAACGGTATTCCACTTCTATATCAATTTAATTTATGTCAACTTCATAAAATCTCATACCTATAATATATATGTACCGTAAAAAGGGGCGAATAGGAACGGTTTTTGAGGTTTTTCTGCAATAAAACCTTCAGTTTTTAATATTTTTTTTTTCTAAGAGTTGTTTTGGAATGTGTGAACAATTTGGCAATTTCGAGATAAAAAAAAATTACTTTAAGTTCAAAATTTATTTTTTAATAATTTTTTAAAAACGTGTTCCTATTTACCCATCGATGGGGCGAATAGGAACACTAATGTAATTTATGAACTTATTCCTTTTAAGTCAAGTATTGGGGAGATAGGAACTTAATAAATATTTTTAAAAAATTAACAACAACACTATTAACTAAAAATGTCATTTAAAAAAAAAAAAATTAATGAAAATTATAAGTCGTAACCTTTAAAAAATAACAAATTACATTTTAACAAACTAACGTTTAATTAACATAATATATAACCTTTATGAATTTAAATTTTAAACAAAATTATAATTACGATCGATTTGAACAGATACGTATATCAATAGGCCCAAACAGGGCCGGATTTAGGGGAGGGCTGAGTGGGCTGCAGCCCAGGGGCCCCCACAAATTCGGGGCCCCCACAATTTTATGATATTTAAATTAGAATACAGAAAAAATATTTTATTTATATTTACACATATTTAATTAATAATATTGAACTTTTTTTGGGCGGGACAACTTTTCTCGCACCAAATTTGTTGTAGAACTACCAAATTTTCACAGCATTTAAAGAAGAACTTTATCTGTGAAACGGCGTTCCCATATTTTAAATAACATATATACAATACAAGTTATTTGCTTCTAAACATTTGGTTTTTTCATTTGCTTATAAAAAATGATTGGATGGTGCTATTGGAAAAAAGAGCACGCTGTTGCACAGATAAAGTTCTTCTTTAAATTCTGTGAAAATTTGGTAGTTCTACAACAAATATGGTGTGAGAAAAAATGTCCCGTGCAAAACAGTTTTTGCTATGTTGTACATTTGTAAGACGGAGACAACACATGCGGGTGTGGCGTCCTCTTAAATTATAAGTTAACCCGTGAATACCTAGTGTTGAAATTTAAAAATGGAAGAAGATCGTCATAAATTAAAGCGAGTTTATATGAGTGGTGCAGATAAACGAAAATTGGCAAAAGAAAAAGATAAAAAAAATACGGAAATAATTTCAAAAACTAGGCGAATGACAGAGTTTTTCATTACAAATATTATTCAATAAGTAAAAAAATATATTTCCTTGTTTATTTATAAGGGGCCCCCACAGTATATTCCGCCCAGGGACCACCACATACCTAAATCCGCCCCTGGGCCCAAATATCCTCTTTTAAAATCTAGATTATCAATGTTCCTATTCACACGATTTTTTTCATAAATATGTTGTCTAAACTTTCAAGCTCCGTAAATAAGTCAATTTTCGTAACACATTTACGAAAAGTGTCTTAATCATCATCAATATGTGCCTAGAGTTAGAATAATATATCATAAGCAACTTTCTTTTGATTTAAATGTATAAACCTGGAGAAGTTTTTCACTTAAAAAAAAATGTGAGTATAAAATCATAATTGATAACGTCTTATCATTGGTGGTAAACAGGTACCATCCAGTTGAAAAATATATCAAAATGGTCTAAAATACAAGTAGTACCAAACGACATTAGTACTAATGTTATCGGTTAAATATTCGTGATGAGAGAACAATAAAACAAATCTTTTTCCAAGTTTGTTCCTATTGCACCTTCAGTTCCTATTCGCCCCTTTTGACGGTAACATATTTTTATACTCGTGTTTTTCGCATTTATTTACATTATATTATAAGTTGATAAGTTTAAGCACGATTTCGTACGCGCTATTTTACTTCAATACTCAGTCTTCACGGCTGTATATACCCCTACATCAGTGGCGTAATTAGGGGGGATTAGGGGGATAGACCCCCCCCAAAAATTTTTTACTGCTAACATTTTGATTAAAGTATTGTTAATGACCATTAATGTTTGCTAATAACGTATATTCCCCCTCCTCCCAAAGACAAATTCCTAATTACGCCACTGCCCTACATCATAATATACTTATACATTTGTATAATTACCTATATTTGTAATTGTATAGAAACATTCTTGAGCCTGTGTACATTTTATAAATTATTATTAGGTATTTAATATTATTTTATTATTAATCATTGTACATAATCAGAGGTAGATCTTCGATATTTTGATAGAGGGGGCCCATATAATTTACAGGGGGGCACGTGCCCCTTCCCTGAATTCGCCACTGTACATAATTTTTTCAAATAAAAAAATTTTTATGTAGTTAACTTTTCGAGTTGCCACATTTAACTGGGAAAAAAACTGTGGGTCAGCTGACCTCCCAAACCCCCCTGCCTACTTTGCTAGTTGTTACCTACTAACATAATTATTAATAATTACTTGGTGTTACTTCTGTTACTAATAGGTACTTATATAAATATAGTCCAGTGTAGCACAGGAACATTGAACATATTAAATCTCTTTTAATGATAGGTACCTACTAATGTACCTACTATTAAATTATTCAAATATACACACATGATAGGTACCTACCAGTGGCGGTCAAATTATTTTTTCAAGGAGGGGGGATATGGCTGATTTTTTAATATTGAATCAAATTTGATTAAAAATTTAGTATTTAGTGTGTAAAAAAATGTTTATCCCCCCAAGACAAATTCCTAATTATGCCACTGGACCCTGTAAAATATTACCCCTTACCAATGGCGTACCTACGAGGGGGTATGGGAGTAATATCTCCCTCGGAGACAAAATCTTGTAGCTATATAATAATATGAATATAATATGTGTATACTGAATGTCTAATGTCTATTAAAATCTTTATATCCCTCCATGAAAAAATCCTAGATACGCTACTACGCTCTACTGACTATAGGTTAAAAAAAAATATTAAATTATCAAATTCAGGACAAGATCATTATTTCCGTATCCCATTAAGTGTATTTTTGTGGACAAAATTATATTGGCACTAGGCGCCTTAATATATTATGCTCTAATACATTGTAGTCTAGAGTGTACCTACTCTGTATAATATAAATTATTACCCTATTATATTAATTAATCTTACATACCTACAACCAGGGGTTAAAGTGGGAAAAATTTCCAGAGGGGACTAATGCCTCCATAAAGTTTTAAGCGTTCCATATATAATTTTATGTGCAATGTCTAATGTATAAAATATTAAAATCCTATTTGTTTAAGGGGACGCTTTTTAACCGCCGTAAGAGGTAGGGGGACTGAGTCCTCCTTCGTCCCCCCACTTTAACCCCTGCCTACAACCTACCAAATACTGTAATACCTACATAATTTATTACCTATATTCAAATAGAAAGATGGTCATTCATATAAGTATAGGTAGGTACATCATATATTTAATTTTATAGTTTACCTTTGGCCAAAAAGTATTCTTTCTGAAGACATTCAATCAATTTATACTGTTCTGCCAAGCATTGATCGTTGGTGAAGTTTCGTTCTTCCAAGCACTCTAAATTTTTAACGATACCTTTGATTTTATATTTATTATTAGTATAAGACATGGCTTCATGTATTTGTTTCTTAGAAAGTCCACAAATTAAATTGTTTTCCAAATCATTTTTCAGTAATTGACCACGAAATGTATGACAAATCGTTATCAAAATAAAACAAAGTTTTTCAAAAAAATTGACACCATACATTGTGTTGAACTTTATTGTAGACATTTTAAGAAATAAAAATTAGGAAGTACCTAGCTAATTTGTCAAAATAATATTAATTTATCCATGGTTTATCTAGTCAGATGTCTTTGTTATAAATGTTAAGACATAGATCATTTCAAATTGTACATTATAGTTTTAAGTCCAAGTAACCATGGACCACTTATGTCAACAGAAGTTGCTAGGTAATTACCACGGCTGTAGATCTACGACCGTGGTAATTATTAATTTCTATGTTTTTATTTATGACAATTTTAAATAAAAATAATACAGCAAAGAGATAGGTGGTATGTGTAAATAATTAAATAAATGTCTTATTTTGAATTTATCTACATACGTAGGAACTAGGAAATAATGGATATTTAAATAAATAAAAATTAATCAATATTTGTTGGAAAAATAACAACATTTAATAATGATATTATATTTTACAGTTGTATTATTTAGTACCAGCAACAAATAATCCAGAAAACAAAAAACCTCCTCCATCGTCCATTGTAACATCAGGATGTGTTCTATTTGGAAGGACTTGATGATATCTCATAAAATTATCAGTTAGTCGAAGAAACACTACGTCTCTTCTCATCTTAAATTCAGCATAAATAGTAACTAACACTTCTCTATATGCTGAATAAATGACAAAAGGTCTTGACAAAGATAAATATGGTAAAAGTGTCTTAACAAATTCTGTTGGTTCCTCTCTGCAGACTACAATTAACCCATCAAATTTATTTGATTTTATAAAATTTAAACCATCTGTACTAGTTATTGGTCGATGTTTTTTCTTTATTTGTGTATATGCTTCATCACTTTTTCTTTTTTTCTCGTCCGAACAATTAATTACATCTTCCTCAACTTTTTCTGCTGGTATATTATCTTCATGTTTTGTATTCAATATTTCATCTAAACTTACAGTTAACATTTGTTTTATTTTAGTTTCAGAAAAATTCATAGCCTTCACGGCTCTCAATGCATTTTGTTCAGATGTTGAAGAGAATATGTGTACAAGGCACCCATTATCATGCAGTTGGTTAAGAAGTGCCGCTTGTAATAATCCTTGACTTCCATTCTCATACAGCAAATACTTACCACCAGGATCCAAATTCACACGGCATAATATCTGAGCTAATGTATCAAACCTTAAAGCTATAGTCTTAGGAAGTGTTTGTTGCTTATACAGTACATCTGTAATAAGCCGTATTGACGGTTTAAATATAGTTAAATAATCACAGTATTTCCTGGCTTTTTTTTTCAAGTATTTTTCTTGAGCATATTCAGTTTTTAGCTGAAATGTTTTGCTGTTTTCTAACAATCGTTCAACAATATTCTGCCCGCTCTCTCCACTTTCTTTCAATGCTATTATTTCGTCAGTGCTCAGCAACTGAGATGAACTGTCATCGGTTATGAGTTTGTTATCCGTGCCGCAACCATTTGTTGACCATTGGTTTCGCGCCTGATTGTCGTTACATATTACCAGACTGTAATGTCTTTTTTTCTCTGGCATTGGCTCTAGTTTGTAGGTGGATGAGAATGGTTGTCCAATAGCTGCTTTCAGATCAATGACATCGCGGCCCAACTTCAATATGGCTTTGTTCGATATTTGATGAATTAAATAAGTTTCGTTTTTGTTAATAATTAAATAATGACCTCGAGCGATTATATTTTCAAGATTTGTTGGCGTCATGATATTTAATTACACATTAACTTTACAATTTTGGTCAATGTACATGAACTTAATTTTTAAATATTTAAAAAAATCTATAATTTTAATTGAAACAATTTTGTTTAAAGACTGAAGTTTTAAATTCTTATCATTTAAAATATTATATTATTTTGAAATTCCAAACATTCGATAACATCCACATGGTAAAAATCACCGAAAAACACAGTTGTAGAAATTTAACCATGGTAAAATATAACATTTCTTTTATATTATTTCATGTTGGTCACATTGATGGTGTCAGATATATTGTATATTGCTATCAAGAGCTACCGTGGTACTGCAACAATTGAAACTATTTAAAAGACCAATTGTTATCATTTTGGAATTAGGTCCATACAATCTATTTTTTTTAGATTTGCCCTTATTCCAAATTTGATCCATTTCAGTTATTTGATATTATAAATTTGTAATTCATAATCAATAAATTTATAAATCTTAATACGACAACCTTTTTTTCTCCCGTCCACTGAGGATTTTACACAGTTGCCAACGCATAGTCGATTTTTTTAGCGGATTGTGAAGTCCAGTAAATAATAATCACCAATCTCGGATAAGAAATGGCGAGTAAGTATCATTCAAATCATTTATGGAACATTTCTTGATTATTTGCAGAGGTTTAATGTGTTGGTTGTATTCTAGGAGGTAATGCTAGAGATCTTGCTCGTGAAAAGAACCAGAAGAAACAGCAGGAACAAGCTAAAAAAAAAGGAATTTCCGACAAGGGTTCGAATCAAGGATTGACGTTGGAACAAAGAAAACAAAGGTAAATAATTATTAAGTTATACATATTGTAAAAGCCACTATAGGTACTGATATTTTACAACTTAAGTTTAAGCCATTTAACACTTCCAATTGAACCATCGGTATTTATAATGTGAGTCTACCTACTAGATAACTTTATACAAATTAGTAATTACAAATATGGTATAGTGGATTTAGAAATCTTTGTTCAATTTTATTAACTTACATAATAATATATTGTATATCTATAATATTGGACATGAACAAATTACATAGTTGGTCATGAATTATATATTCATAGGTTCATAAATAATTTCATACCAACATTATTGTGTGTTCTCAATCAACAAATTCATAATTTCAATTGTTGACTTAAACTTTACAATTATTGATTGTTTTAGTATGTAAATTACATTATAAAAAAATACAAAATTATTATTTTTTTATATTTATCTATGTTTTTGTTTTGTATTTGAATTATTTTGACTTTTTATTTATTAATATTGTATAATTTTAAATATTTTCCATCATGCCTAATAGATTTTTATTTTTTTTATCTTTATCTTTCTTTAATATCATATCAATTAATGCTCATTTCTAGTAGGTATACATTTCAGATATTTTTCATTCGTACATATTATCAAACATGATTAGTAATGTTGAGTTGAAGTGAGATATTCTACATTTTTTTTCACTGTTCAATGGGTCCCCATGGTCCTCTACATAGGCATGCTCATGGGAATGCCGGGTATCCATATAGTTTTTAGTCATAAATGTTTTGATTAGAATCATGATCTAAAATAATTCAATGTTAGAACTTAAATATTTTGATTATTTATTTTTATTTTTTTCTTACTGGGGGGAGTTGAAACAACATCAAATATTTAGATTTCATAATTATACTTACCAGAGTTTAATTTTGTATACATAAATACATTTAGTACATTATTTAATACACTAATACAATCATTATATTTTCAGAGATGCCGATAGGATGAGAGAAAAACAACAAAAAAAACAAGAAGATAAATGAATTATTTTATGGATATTTGTGTCACAGATGTACATTTTTATGCTAAGCTCAAAATAAATTCAATTTTTATTATGTAACATTGTAACCATCTATAAATGTATAGACTGCTTTTAGTCGTAATTATTTTTATCCTTACAAAGTATAAACATGATATTCTTTTATAAATCACTTTGATTCTTTTTAAGTATCTTCGTTACGTTATATAATTCTTGTACACTAATTAAATAATGATTTTCAATAATTAATGTTGAGGTATGAAATAAACTCTAGATCTTGAAATGTAGTTTGATTTTGTATACCATTTATTTTAGATTCAACATTTTTACCTATACAACCAAGTTTAAAACTTAAATTATTGACAAACAATTTGCTTTAATTTCTTATTTCAAAGTAGAACATTTTAGGAATCATAAATAATGTTATCAGTTAACTATTAAGTTATGAATTAGAACACACAGGTCTATAAATGTAACATACATAATATACAAGGTGATATCTTCTCAACATGCTAATCAGCATTAACTCCTTTGCATATAATTTATGTATTAAACAATTTATTTTAAGACCATATTATTTTCAAATAAATATGCCATTAAAGGAATGTCCTGTGTACTGGGGTGATACATGTCATTTTAACTAATGGAATTATGAAGCACTCTTTTTACTGTAAACTATTAAGCTGATAATTTTTTTTTAATCATTTTGATTCATATTAATCAAAAATCAAAATTAAAACGACTAGTTTCTGAGTATTAAACGTTGCATAATTAGAGTTATTGTCTTAAATAATGTTTTTACATAAAATATAAAATATATGTAAATATGTAATATTTAGTCTAGGTACATCTTATTATACTTTGAAAAATGTTTTAAGTCCATGTGATATTGGGTAATGAAAATATTAGGGTCAGTGGCATTGCAAACTTTTACCAGTGAGACAAGAATAGGCATTTCTTAGAATTGTGGTAGCTTTGCTTCATCACCATTTAAATAGATTTGATGTCATATAATATTATAATCTATTACAAATTCTTATTAATTTTTATACTTCAATTAAAATTATTTTTCATACTTATATAACTACTGATTTTATTAAAGTCTTAAATAGGTATTATTAAGTAAATACCTACTCGTTGGCTAGACGCCTAGACGTGGATATATTAATAGATTGGTATAATAAACATCTTAAACGATTAAGTTATAAATAGGACGTGGATTTTAATGCAATAAAAAACAAGAAAAATGTCTTAAAAAAATACGATTTAATACACTAATATTTAAATATTTCAAAGCTTAATAAAATGCCTAGAAAAATTATAAGTTAATTTAAATGAATATAAAATCGAATTTACTATTTTAGATAGGTATAGGTAAATTCTTTATATTTTGTGGTTTATTATAGCACTGGTCAATCATATACTGTTGTTTTGTATAACTTAAGTCATAGGAGAGAATATAATACGTGATAAAAAATTGAAAATAGAAATTTTACAAAATTTTTTTTTTTCATTTATTTAAATGTGTCATCATATTTCAAGCTATTACAACATTAAACAATTAAACAATTTTATAAAATACAATGTTATATTGTTATGGATTAGTTGTGAGTCGTAGTTGGTTAGGTATAGATATAGTTTTAAATAATATAGGTAATGAATAATGATAAAAGGAAAAGAGATTTAGAGATGTATAATATATTAAGTTGAAAACGATACCTATTTAGAACGATGTTTATACTTCGATTTTTGAAAGGAAGGAGCTTATTTGTACGCCTCAAAAACTGCGCTTTAACATTTATTTAAATTTTAAATGGCAATCTATACCATAATAGTAATACAATTTGGAAAATGTTACTTTTTCGAACTCAGGTCTTGGCGAAATACCTGTCGATGGCTTTTTTAATATAAATTTTACTTTTTTTGAATTTTGCGATGGAAGGATTTCCGAGCGAACTACACAACTAAGCTAGATAGTTTACGGCACCGACAAGTAACAATTTTGCCCAAAAAGTTTTTAAAAATATTAGCTTTAACTGGGATAGGAATTGAAAACAGTTTTTTGAACGACGTTTATGTTACTTATTCGTCTATGTTACTTAACTGAATAATACATTTTCACATTTAGGTACGTGATTATGACGAATTTTGTCAAAATTCTAATTTCAGCCAATTATAAAAATGTAGAGTGAATTTAAGCTCACTTTTTTAGATTCTGAGTGGAAGGATGAATGTATTGATTTTACAATGATGTGTGTTTTAATTTTAATTTTTTTTTTGTTTCTGTCATCAAGGTTAGGGCAGTAAAACTGCTTCGATTTTCTTCAACACTATCTATTGTTTGATGGGAAAGTAAATCTAGTTGGTGCATTCGGGAGGTCAAATTTTAAAATCCCTTATAGTTTTCACAAGCGAAGGGAAAAACAACATACAAATTAAGGATTCTGATATATTGCCACAATAGCAATTGAAAAATATTAAAAATACATTGGCACAATTTTTTTTTTATAGGCATTTAAAGTTCACATTTTGACAAAATTTATCACATTTAAAATTTAATAATAATTTTGTAGGCAGTTAAACATTTATAAAATGTTCAACTTTTATAGCTAAAGATTGAAAATTTAAAACAAGATTCCGTGTAAATAGGTCAATAGGTTATATATAAATTACTTTATCCTCCTTAATATCATCAAATATACTTAGTAATATCATGGGCTGACTGACCATTTTCGCTCAGAATCGTTTTTCTTATGCAATGATATTATATCATTGAATTCAAATTTAATACCTTCCATCATACAGTGACCCACTTGAAACTTAATGTACAGCAGAGCGACTTTTTTTAATTACACTTTAAACTACTTATAAGGAATCGGTCATCACAATTTCAAGTTCTTGGATCGAATGAAAAATTATTTATTGACAACAATTGAAAAAAATCTTAAAATAATCTATAATGCTTCATGACTTTAAAGCTTTAAAAGTGTCAAAATGTTTTCAAAATTTTATCCAGTATAGAAAATACTAATATTAACATATAATATCAATTTAATACGAATTGTCAATTGAATATATAAATGTCATTCTCAAGGAATCTATATATAGTGAGTACTGAGTATTTGATTCAATTTCCCACATTTTACTAGCCTTATAAAGTTATTGTAATAATTAAAATATTTTGTAAGAATGTTCTTAAATAGTAGGTAAAAAGCAGGTAATAGGTATTAAAATTGTCTTTCGGAGAATTTGGCTCTGATAATTTTTAACGATAAAATTATATAAGTTATCACTAAATTTTTAGTAAATACTTTACTTATAGTGAACACGATCTAATTAAATCTACACGTACCAACAAATCTAACTTATCTTATAGACGTGTAGTAGATATGTATAATGTACATAGTAGATAGAAAGTTGTTAAAAAATTCGTTTTAAAAAATAAAAAACTAGTGAAACATAAATTATTATTCATTAATTTTTCATACGAAATAAATAATAAAAAAATCATTAATTTATTATTTTGAAATAAAAAATAGATGCTCTGCTGTACAGTAGGTTACAAGTGGGTCACTGTATAATGGATGGTATTAAATTTGAATTCTATGATATAATATTATAATAAGAAAAACGATTCTGAGCGGAGACGGTATGGCAGTCTATGTATAAGACATAATATTATATACTTATCTATGGTATAAAAAAAATTCAACTATAATAGGACGTACCTATAATAAATTCCAAATTAATCATATCACAATATCCATTAGGTAGGTACCTATAATGCGTTATACGTCAACAAGACAACAACAAACCCTGATACTATCATAGTCCATACTCCATATACTTTAGAAGTTTCAAGCACCCACAAATAATATTATACAATCACAATAAATTAACTAAAATAGTTATTCTGGGTTTTTTTTATGTAATTTCGTCAAATTTGAACTTAAAATGACTATAAAAATAAACCGTACTTATGTACTTTTTACATTTTTTGGTAACAGAATTAACTACTTACGTGAAATCTTGTTTTACATTTTCAATCCTTAGATACAAAAGTTGAACATTTTATAAATTTTTAACTACAAAATAATTATTCAATTTTGAATTTGATAAATTTTGTTAAAATTCGATCTTTAAATGCTTATAAAAAAAAAATCGTGAATATGTTTTTTTAATATTTTTCAATTGCTAATGTCACAATATATCAGGAGCCTTGTATTAAATTATTACACTTGTTACCCAACAGATAAAACTTTATTGATATTTAAAAAAAATATATAAATATTGAAAACTGACAATTTCCTCAAAAAGCTCAAAAAGGGTCAAATTATTTTCAAAATTGTATGGTGTATAGGAAATTCTAATATAAAAATTCAATGAAATTTTCAAGTGTCTACAGTCATTCGTTTTTTTAATTATAACAAGATAAGAAAATCGTTACATAAGAAATCTAGTGAATATCAAATGTTGTAAAATTATAAATTTCAAACGCTCATAAAAATGTAATTTGACTTTCTTATAGACATTTTTTTTTTTTGATAAAGGTAGATAATCTTATAAGGGATCTTGCATTTTATTTTAAAATCTTAACTCAAAATAATTTGCTAATTTTCTTGATTTTTCCATATTTTGTCAATTTTTGAACTTTAAATGCTTATAAAAAAAAAACTGTGACTAAGGATTTTCAATATTTTCATTTGCCTTTGAAACAATATACTAGGAGCCTTTTATTAAATTTTCAAGCTTTTTTAACCAACAAATAAATTTTTTTGATATTTTTAGGAAAAAAACTAAAAAAAAGGAAAATGAAAATGTCCCTAAACAGTTCAAAATAAATCAAAATATTTTGAAAAGGTTGTCGTGTATAGAAAATGTCAATATAAACAAGTGAAAATTTCATGTATCTACGGGTATTTGTTTTAAAGTTACACCAAAAACCAAATTCAATTTTGCGTAAAAATTCCCGTTTTCCCTTAATTTTTCTTTTGTTATTCTTTGCACTTTTGAAAATTACTGGGAATTTTTATCTCCCCAATGCACCCGCGATATTCACTTTCTAATCGAACAAGATATTGAAGTTGAAAATCGAAGCATTATTTCGACTACTTATCGTGTACACACACACACACACACACACAAAATAAAAAAAACACACATCATTGTAAAATCAATACATTCATTGTTCCACTCAGAATCAAATATTTCTATGATCACTAGGTCTATGGTTGTAAAATATATACAAAATAATTATTGAATCATATGAATTGAGTATGGTTAAAAAAAATGATAAAAAGTAGCGTTATTTGTAACGCACCCCTTTATTAATGAAAAAGTAATGTAACGTGATAAATTTTAGGTAACGCAAAAGTAATTAAAATAAAAATATTTGAATTAACGAGTAAAGTAATTTCATTACTTTTCAAAAGTAAGTTACCCGACACTGGTACTAGGTACTAACATACAGCAGGACCAAGGGGATGCCTCCCTCTTCGGTAAGATAATGTTATTTCAGCACTATTTAATTAATCTCATACATAGATGTCGATATTGAAAATTATTTCCTGAAATATTTATCTAATACTTTGTTATTACGATTTTCGACGAAGATCTATTCTACTCGTTTCAAGGTAGCTGGCATAGAATGCAGATAAGTATTTGTTTCTAGGACATTACATCCGTAGGTATGTGTTGTCTCCGTCTTAATCGTACAACACAGACAATTTGTGTACAAGAGAACAAATTTCGTGTTGTTATCTTTAATATAATAATATTAGAATGAATTGGATTATTATCAATCGTAAAGCCGTCAATAGGTAAGAAGTAAGATTGTAAGAGCACATTGTTCTCGACATTGTTTGAGTTTGTACTTCGGTTTTTTACAATTTTCCAATATTTAAACGAGTTTTTTAATTTTCTTAATATTTCAATATTTGGCTCAGCCCTCGTCCACATTTGACTTGTAAGTTAAAAATATTAGCCCCCTTTTGAAATGTTAATGGATTTTCGTCTATGTATATACATTTTGCACACGAAAACGACTGCAAAATATTTAAATACTAATTAATATGTTATTTTATTATTATTTTAGTACCTAATGCAGTATATAGATTACCTATATAGGTTATATTAACCATTATGTAGGTACTATATTAATTATGTCAATACAGCCAGTTATATACAACCAAACATACATGTTACAACTACTTACCAGCCACCAGGCTTAATAAAATAAAATACCTATGATATTTTTTAAGTTCGTAAAACTAACATACTTACATCAGTAAATGGTGTCATAATAATATTATCTTTATAATATCAAAACAATAATAATAAAAAACCGTAATAGGTACGCAGATGGAAATTATGACCCTTCCCCTCTGAACAAGTAACATCACGGACGCGTCGTTGATACAACTACTAACTATTATATACATCAACATTAACTGCAACAGTGCAACATATTAATAATATAATATATATAACACATAATTTATTTTTACAGGGTACTCTTTATTATATGTAATATAACGAATGTATCAATGGCTGTGTTATTTGATCTTCATAATAATTGTTTATCGTTTTTAGTCTACTAGTCTACATATTTACTCGACATGGACGAATATGTAGGCATAGGTATTCATAGTTATAGGTTGTTAATTTATGTATTAGATTAATATTAATATAAAAATTAAATACCTACACAAAGACCGAAATACACGTATTATGTAGATGAAAGTTTACACACGCTTAGCCTGAATAGGTACCTAAATAATGTAACATATATAAGCAGTCGTAAAATACTTAATCCTATCTTTAAAGTTCGAACTTTTAAAATATAGGTATAGGTAACACTCGTACGACATTATTTCCTATGTACTTAGCAGGTGTTTGATTTCGTTTAATTTTACCGTTCTCAAATATTGACGATAATACAAAATATGAGTCTTACAGCTCCTGCAGGTATACGCATATTGGATCGGAGGAGGAAAGATCGTCTTACATGCGTTCTTATATATTTTTCTTTGGAGCAATTATAATAATATGATTTATTTTATGAGTTTTACCATTTAGAACGGTACTACGTTAGGTACTAATCTATGCGACATAGGGAATATTCGTAAAATATTACGTTTATTGGACAAGCGATATTATAATAATATAATTATGTCTCTCGCCTCTCACACCGCCGAAATGATTGGTATATATTGTTATACATATTGCGTCAGAAATCAAAATATCATCAGAACACTGCTGTGGAATCCGAGCAAACGTACATGACGCTTGTATAATAATAATGTAATATTATGTACCTCGAAGAACAACGACGATGGTGCATTAGAGTTATGGGACATACTCTACGATCTGTTGGGGCGATAAACCGGTTGAGGTCGATTATTACATAGTACCTATATACGTACAGTGGCCATAGGTTATCGCGTGCGTTCGTTACTTATAAGTTATGACTAAGTGTATTGTACCTATACTTATCATTGATCCGAACGAAAACCTCTGATCATATCATTAGGGCATTATATATATGAATATAATCTTATTGTGTATATAACACTGAAAACACGGCTTCCCTCTTTAGTCTTTCGTTGGACGGAATGCGCACGTACGCCTACGTTTTATCGTCAATCAAAGTCCTCTAAAACGTATACGTTATTTTTACGTTTATATTAAATGCATAGAACATTTACCCATTTAGTATTTTAGTCCTCAGTCGTAAGTCGTCGGCATAGGTCGCGCCGCACACCGTATTATAGCTGCTGCAGTACAGTAACGGTCGTAGGACAGTTATAAGACTAAACTTACAAAATGTTCAAATCAACGATTTTCGCCCTCGTGGGCTTATTAATCTTCAGTTTTGGACGCGTCGATGGTGCAACGGTCCGCGTCGACCTGGATCCGTTGTCGGACGAGTTCATCGACCACATAAATTCGATACAATATTATTGGAGCGTAAGTGTATAATATATGTAACCATCGTCATGTTGATTGTGCATCATAATGTAATTGTTGTTACATATTTCAGGCCGGCCGCAATTTTCACAAGAATACGCCGATTTCTTATTTCAAAGGATTGATGGGTGTGCACGAGAAGAACGCGGAATACCCGAAATTAGAACAACTGTTGACTTACACTGACGCACCGATAGATCTGCCGGAAACTTTCGACGCTAGGGAACAATGGCCGCATTGTCCAACTATTAGGGAAGTCAGGGATCAAGGATCATGCGGGTCTTGTTGGGTAAATCGATTACCATTACTTTTATTAGTTAAAATTTACGCCCAACTCCAATTTTTACTTTTTCAATATTTATATAGGCTTTTGGAGCTGTAGAAGCTATGTCAGACCGTGTCTGCATTCACTCTAATGGCACTAAAAATTTCCATTTTTCGGCTGAGAATTTAGTTTCCTGTTGCTGGACATGCGGCTTTGGATGTAATGGAGGCTTCCCAGGAGCAGCATGGAACTATTGGAAAACTAAAGGCATTGTTAGCGGTGGTGCATATGGATCCAATATGGTAATGTTATTAACTCTTTGATTTTAAATTAATACTATACCTACTCGTATTGATTTTCATCATTATTTTATATATGGCTACCTAATATCAGTTGTAATAATGTATATATACTTTAATACTTACATAGTTACATATAATATTATATTTGTTATTTATCAGGTTTTTATATAGGTAGGCATATTAGGTAAGGATAATTTACTATTTAGAAGATGACAAGGTATTTTGAAAGTATTTATATTTAGTCATTTAGTATTTTCATAGAAACCTACCTATATAAAAGATAGGTACCAGATAAGATAATGGATTCGAGTAATTTCGACCTTATCAAAAGGGACTTCTGTTCAATGGAAATATTTAATATACCATTATAATTTACACCCCATGCTAAAAAACGAAACCTTCCAAGAGCATAATAATATTATAAATACCTATTCATCAAAATTAATTAACATACTATTATGATAAATATATTTTTACTTTATTCCACAAAGACCATAGGTAACCAAATGTGGTATGCGCGTATGGCCTACCTAACTTAATAATATTATCTCATGTCCATTTTCTATTATCTAGATTCTAGGTAAATGACTAACTCAATATTTTGTTTTTGTTTTTATTGTGTCATTTAATTATTCATACATTTACGTCCCACCATATTCTAACACATCTGATTGGACATGAGGGGGGGGACGATTTAAAATATACAGATTACTCAATGTGACATAGGTACACAACAAAAGTGTTGCGCTAAAATGTTGGTTTCAAACAGTTGATCAACGATATGAGAATAGCTACCAACGCTTCAAGCGTGGTTAACATCAAACAACAACGTAATATTGGCATATCGTACACTTATATTGGCTATATTGATATATTTTGTAGCAGGTACCAAGAGAAATCACTATAATGCAAAAGCGATAGCTGTAATTCTTGCTATGACAAGATCGTTAACTTTTTGGGATTGAGATTGAGATTTTTTTATATTGAGAGAGAAAAGATGTCAGTGCACCGTTTGTTTTCTCTCTCTGGCCCACGCGTAACATAGACAAAACGCATTTACGCAGAACCATTTCTTTTATGTATTGAAGTAATCTTGGAATAATTTCACCTATTACAAAAAAGATAGACAATAATATTTTTGAGGGAAAACCATATCGATTTGTCTAAATATTGTCTCAAAACAATTTAAACATAATTTAAATTTAAATTTTTTTATATATTTTGAAAGTCGAATACAAAGTCAAATAACAATAAAATTTAAAATCGATATGTCTTCCCTCCAAAAGTCAAAAATATTATTCCCTATCTTTTTTGTAATGTGTGATTTTACTATATAAGATTTCCTAAAAACAGAAAAAAATTATTCTGCGTAAATAAGTTTTGTTGCGCTTGGGCCAGAAAGAGAAAACAAATAGTGCGCGGACATCCTCTTAAGTCTTAAAGGTAAAGGGTTATAGGTGAAATACACTTATACACTTACCAGCCTGCTCTTCAGTGGAATTTGTGATAAAACGATAAAAGTAACCTATTTGAGTGAAAACTAAATGAATCTTGACCACAATTGTCCCCATTGGTATTATAATTCAATAGTTGGTTAGATAGATACTTCATTGAAAATTAAAATTATACATTGCGGTCGCCGGTCAGAAAACGTTCAACTAACCAGCACCAAAAATTGTATACTAAAACCGCCTCTGCAGTTTAGGTTGAATATTTATGATTTTCTATACTTACTCATTTTAATGTATTTTATTTTGATTTTTATATAAAGATTAGGTAGGTACTGTGATATAAAATCGCAGTAAAATGATTATTGATTTAATTGTTAATAAGTTAAATAGATATTTTTTAATTTTATTTTCAATTAAGTATGATTATAACATCATACAATAATACTTAAATTTTATTTAATATAATATTTTTTATTTTTGTTATAGGGATGTATTCCATACGAAGTTGCTCCGTGTGAACATCATGTGAATGGTACTCGAGGACCATGTAAAGAAGGAGGTAAAACTCCTAAATGTGTTAAAAAGTGTGAAGATGGATATAAAGTGCCATATGCACAAGATTTGCACCATGGTAAATAATCTAAATCCAATAAAATAAAAAATACAAATATTTTTATTAATTGATATCTACAATATTTTTTGAATATCAGGTAAATCTGCATACTCCCTTAGAAATGATGTCGATCAAATAAGACAAGAAATTTATACCAATGGTCCCGTTGAAGGGGCATTCACTGTATATGAAGATTTTATAGCTTATAGAGCTGGTTAGTATTAATTTTTAACTATCAATAGGCTTTAAGCATTGACGGAAATCGTGAGGGGGGGTTCATGAGAGGGCTTAGCCTTCCCCCCCAAAAAAAGTCTGTCAAGCCCACTCATTTTTAGTTTTGTAGGATCGAAACCTACATGGTTAAGATTAATAATGTAAGCCACCTCTGAAATTTTAATGGATTTCCGCCAATGGTTTTAAGTTTTAACTAACTATTAATACATTTTTTTTCATTTGCAGGAGTATATAAGCACGTTGCTGGTAAGGCTCTTGGAGGCCATGCAATTAGGATCCTTGGATGGGGTGTTCAGAATGGTGAAATACCATACTGGTTGGTAGCTAATTCTTGGAACACTGATTGGGGTAGCGATGGCTTTTTCAAAATTTTGAGAGGAAGTGACGAGTGTGGCATTGAAGGACAAATTAATGCCGGTTTACCAGCTTAATTTGCAATTGTTTCAGATAAAACATTTATATACCTACCCCAACTTTTATATTTAATTAAATTTATTACAAGTAAAAACAAATTATTATTATTTTTTTTTTTTTAATGCTTAGAGCTTACTTGCTATTATTAACTAATCTGATTTTGAATAGATCCAATAAATAATAAAATAAAATAAATAAAATTACATTATCATTTATTTTTGTATACCTAATTGATTTTTATTTTGTATTAATAATGAAATTTGAAATTATTAGAACTTAATAATTATCTTACTATTATTAATATTTATAACTTAAATTATTTTGTTGCTCATTTTATGTCAATAAATAAGTGAGAACCAGCATACTCTCCAAACATGTAAATTTTATGGATTTCCGTGCACTTTATTACCATATAGCCTATAGGTTTAACTTTTTTCAATATAAAGTCATATTTAATTTTTTAAATCTCATTATCATTTTTAATACCAATAAATCAACAACTTGGTAATACAATAATTAAACAACTAGATAATCACATTTAATTACATAGTTATTAAGTTTCTATGAAAAAACTATCAGGTATTATGACAAGCGGACAAAACTATCATATTAAAAAGGCTGGTTCAATGAATATAACAAATACATATTTTTTAATTAGTGTATTAGGTAGTTGAATTAAATTAGAATATACTTCCTGTAAGAAAGTCATAATAAATATTTAATATTTTACAAATAAAACAATAAAACTGTTAAATACTATCATGAGTTACTAACATAAATTAAAATGTTCATTCTTAAATATCATGTTTTTGTTACAAAAGTAAAATTGATTTATAATATTAAACTAAGTATACAAATCTGATTACATAGGTAGATGATTACTGATTTGGTTTTGAATATTAGTTTTAATTTCTTTAACAATGTGTTTGTTCTGGCGATCTTTAATTGACAATTCTTCTATTAAACAAAGTTGTTTCTAAAAATAAGATATAAACTATTACAATAATCCTTATAAAAACATAGAAATATTTACTTGTACGTCTGCAAGAACTGACAATTTTATAATTGCCGGTTGATCATTTGAAAGTTCACTAAAAATTCCATTACGAACTGCAACCAAAACATCTTGATCTAGACACTCCAGGATGATTGTTTTCGTAATTTTGTCATCTAAAACCATTGAAACTATTTTTCCAAAATAATTCAAATATAATGTTTTTGGCATATTATCTAGAATACAAAAAAATGATAATTCAAAATTATTTTAAGCTTGACACTTGACATTTACTATGGTAAGTATCATATACAATGGACAAAGGTATACCTAAAATAATTAGTACAATTCCTGCATAAGAATAATAATAATGTAAATGTCTAACATGAAACAATACTGATTATGCAATGCACTATATATTTAATTTCACAAATAGATACATATACATTTAGTACAGCTGCTATTATGCTTCATACTTCCTCTGTGTGTGGTACATTAATTCTAACCCGTGTTTGTGATTTAAAAGTAATAAGTCCTGATATTGTTCAAAAATCATCACTAAAGAATTTCGTTCAAGTTCATATTTTGCAAACAATACCTAAACATTACTAGTTTATTTTAAACAAAATGTGAACGTTTATATTTTTAATGAATTTGAACAATTTTTTAAGCCATTTATTTACCGTTTAATAAATATAATACATACAAATATTGATCAATAATATTATATAATAATATTTTGGTATTACAATACTCTTATTCATTATTGTATTTATTTGATTACAAATTATAAAAATAAAACACTTGAAATTCAAGTGGGCATGGCTTGACATAAAACAACAATAATAAATATTATGATTTCCAAAATGTTGTATTAGTATTTAAATATTAATTGATTCATAAAAATAAAATAAAAATTCAAATGAAAGACCAATCAATTAGCTCATTGATTATATCAAAGAACTTGAACGAGTTCCCTTTTTAAGCACTGAACGCGAATTAATTAAATTTTTTAGTTAAAGTTCTGAACACCAGACTCTTCATTTTCCATGATAAACATATTTAAATTACAACATATATAAATTATTATACACCACATATTATATAAAACAATTTAATAATTACTAAAAGAGCAATATGGATGTCCAATACTAAAATTGCATTTTTTTTTTTTTACATAGTCTTATTTATAAGTCATATGACTACAGTTTTGATCAAATATATTTTATTTTAATTGTGATAACAATTTATAACATTCATTTAAAATAATTTTAAAGTTATGTTAATTATCATTTTAAATTTCGAGATTAGCGATGATAGTATTGATTTTTAAATTTTTCTTATTTCTAAACTAATGTAAGGAGATTAAATAATCTATGTATGTTTTATTCATAGTTCATAGATCTATTGATATAAATGGTAATATATCTGTGGGTTTATTAGAGAATACTAGCATCATAATTCAATTTTTTTTATTAAATCTAAAAATCTTTTTCTTACTGATAAGTATTGATAATGGGCACATAACTTCAAATCTCATTTATTTTTAAGTTTTTGAATTATAATAACTGACTCAAAATGTATATATATTAATACTACATAATATTATATTCTACATGTTGCTCTAAAATGAAAAACTCATAATAAAGTATAGATCATGAGGAAACATTTAATGCAAAGGAAACCACAAACTGGGAAACACTGATTTATTTAATTAACTTATTTATTTATTTAACTACTTACCAATTATATTTTTATAAAATGATTTTGAAATTCTATGTTTATTTCGGTTTGTAATAACAGTTAAGCAATCTACTAATGATAAGTTTTCTGGAAATTTAAAAACATTTCTATGTCTATCTTCCAAAGGATTCATCACCAGTATCTTTTCTCGTTTTTCAGCTTTGACAAAATATAACGAATTCAATTTTATTGGATTCAAAGGAATAATCAAACAGCGATTAATTGAATCATTTTGTACTTGACACACCAATTCGCAGTGTACTAAACCAGATGTACAATTTTCAGCAACTGTAGCCAATAAACGGTGTTTCACCATTAATGGGTGATTATTGTCGAAGAGATCAACATCAAAAGAATGTAGGGCACAATTTGACGACAAATTGTTACTGTCAGTAATACGAACCAAAAGTTGCCAAATTGAAGCTGGAAATGACAACCATGAACAGTCTGTAGAGAGTTTGATTGCAAAAATATATTCATCTTGGCAAGCTCCTAATTTGACAGCTTTAGCACCTACATTTAAAATGTTTTAATATTTCAATGAAACCAATTATAAAATGTAATAAAGAATACAACCTGAATAGATTAAAATGTTTAATGAACAAAATTGAGCAACTAAATCTTGGCGAGCAACAATAGACACTGCATTTATGTATTTATTCATATTTTCATGTTGCTCTTCTAAAGACTGTATACTTTTACAAAGATTTTTTATGTTTTCTAAAATTGATTTTTCATTAAATTTAAACTTTAGTTCTTCTCGAGTGATCACTTCAAGTTTAGCAGATAATTTATACACTTTATTTAATCGGGTCATTGCAATAATTGTATTGGACTGAAATCTGCATAATGAGATAACTCCTAAAATATAAAGATTTAAACATATTAAAATACTACAAGTACAGCTTTCTAAATTTAAAATAGTACCTTTCAACTGAGTTACAACTTGTTTGACTATTTTAGAAAATAGTTTATCCAATGTTATCTGAAACAAATGGATACCATCACTTAAAATCACAGTATGATCAACAACAAATGTAGCAACCGTTTTTGTAACTGCCAGGTAAATGAACGAAGGATGAATATTTTCAACACAGTTCATGATTATAAGTATTCCATTAGATGACACCAACACCAATTTTTTCGTTTCTGAAAAACAACAAAATTTTAATAATATAAAAGGTAAATAAATGCAATCCCAGAATTATTACCAAAATCACAAAATTGAATATGTACAATTTCTTGTGGACTATTTAAAAATAATGAAATATTTTTACTGGTCACATTAGATGTTGTACAATATACTTTTGACTCTTCTGTTGCTATTATGAAGACATCTAGACTGTCAATTACATTTGATCCGAAAAGTTCTATAGCCCGTTGGCTACTGAACCAATCTCTCCAAGTACAAGATGTAAACGAAGTAACTACAAATGGAAACTAATTGTATATACAATTACTATTATTGGTATTAAACATTTTTTTTTCTATTCTATTACCGGTTTCTTAGATCTAATTTGTTTGTTACAGGTATTAACTACAGTTGGTTCATTATCATCATTAATGGTAATTTTTAACATCTGTATTATTATCCATTCTTCCAGTGCTATTATTACAGCAATTCCATCTGAATAGCTAGTTGCTTCAAATATTTCACATGGACACTTTTGAGAGTAGCAGGATTTCCACTCATAATTGGAGGACAGTGGCTGTTGAGTAACTTGAGCAGGCAGGGAACTATCAAATAAGTCTGGAGAATCTCTAGAACATTAAAATACAATTAATTTAAGTTAAAGAATTTACAGTGAATACTAAATATATTACCGTTGAACTTGTTTTAGATAATATATAGATCCAGTTTTATCAATACAATACATTCTTGAATTAAAGGTTAATATTGTTATTATTGGATTACTTATTGGCACAATCTAGTAAAAAATCAAGATTCATAATATTATATCATTTTTACTTTTTTTATTGAAATATCAGCGTATGCATTAAAATTGTTGTATTTTATCATATTTATGTTTGGTTTTTATTCCAAATAATAAATAATGTCAAATATATGCATGCATACAATATTATAATATAACAATATAGTATATAATATGTACTATAAAGTAAAAGTGCATATATGTAAGTAATTAGTACATAACACTTATCATATAAATATAGCTGTCACTTATAGATTATATACAATAATCTGTGATTTATTATTAAATTAATTATATATTCATTCAACAAACAAATTTTAATTTTCATAATTATTTGAATATAATACGCCAGTACTGAATAATATATATTATATTATATTATACGATTATATATAGTATAAATAAATATATAAATCAATTAAAATTCCTTTAATAGTTGAATAGGTACGACACTTGATGACAATTAGGTGCCTAGGTAACCATACCAACATATTTAACTAATTTAAACCTATTTTGGGTTTCTCAAAATTTAATGAGACAAATGTATTATATAATAATTAATAACTTACCACAGGTTCAAGGGGGTTCCAAAGACTAGCTTCAGGTAAACTGTCTAATGAATATAAAACCATGACACAATCGTCCCACGAAACAAACAATTCATTTTCACTATTCTCATGAAAGTGTGTATGTTTTGAATTAGTATGTAAATACTCAGATCTTAGTTGTAGTTGTTCAAAATTAATTGAGAGTTCCATTATGTATCTATGTTTACTGAATTATAACAACACGTTATAGGTAAAACATAAAATTTCAAAATTGGAAAATAAAATTATTTCAACATTGATTCAAAACATACCTATTTAAGCACAATGATATTATGATTCGTTGTCGAAATGTAAATTATCATTTTATTTATAGGTAATCAAAACGTTTATAATTTTATATTTATACTTTTATACTTCTAGTATTTTGATTAATATTGTGCAAAAAAATTTGAAAATCTTCAAGTCTTCAAGCATAGCACGGACTAAGATATCGTTCGTGAAGAATAGTGAGGTATTATCGGAAGACGGAAATATTTCCATCAGTTTGAAATGATTAGACCATGATAACACTGAATGATAACTAAAAATGGGCGGTAAAACCTTATATCATAAATATTTTTTTTAAGCATGTAGCCATACAGGTAATTTTGGGATATTATACAGTATGTCCCAGTTTTAAATAGGTACCACTAAATATCTCAGCCCGATAATCTTAGATTGAAATACGGTTTGCTGCAATAGCTCAGGGGTACTGAAGTACACATTTAAGGACAAATTTCAAATTTTTAACTCTTGTAGTATGCGCATGCGCAATACAAATTTTTTTTTTTTAAATTGCAACACCTATTTTTGTAACCGGATATGGATAGATTAATTTATTCTAAGTAATTTTGATCCATTGACCATAGTTATAAACATAAAACTGAATGTTACAGCTTTTTGAAATTTTAAAATCATTACATTTTTTCGATTTTACCAAAAACATTACACGCTTGAATTGAGTGATTTTTTCATAGATTTTAATTAAGAATGTGAAGTAGGAAATTAAATAAAAATTACTCCGTTACATTGTTTTGACTTATATTTATTTTTTTTATCTAATAAAATGTTCAAAATTTCCTCTGTTTTTTTCTAAACACAATTCCAGTCGACAACTCACTTCTCTATAGGTTGCTACAAAAATTTGTTCTTTTGTTAATTGTCTGCACGCTACCCTTATTTTATTTTTTAAATCCTGTAAGTTTGCTGGTGGATCTGCATAAACAACAGTCTTTAAATGGCCCCATAAAAAAAAGTCTAATGGTGTTAGATCAGGTGACCGTGGGGGCCATTCCACTGGCCCGTGAGTTCCCATCCATCGATTTCTAAACATTTAATTTAATTGTTGTCTTACAATAATGACATTATGAGCAGGTGCTCCATCCTGTTGAAAAATACGTTTTGACGAAGTAATAAAGAGAAATCTTCGAACATCATCGGTAGCAAAGTTAAGAAATCTGAATAACGTCTTCCATTAAGAGTACCGTCATAAAAATGTGGACATATTAAATTTCCTCCTAATAATCCGCGACCGCACCACACATTTGTGCCCCATACTGTTTGATAATTTGTATCAACTGCCCAATGTGGATTTCCGTTTGACCAATAACGGTTATTCTGCTTATTTAAAACACCATTATTGGTAAACTTTGATCGGTCCACAAAACGTGATTTAAAAATAATGGGTCCTTATTTGTACATGTTGTTATCCATGCAATAAATGTTAATCTACGTTCGTTATCACCTTGGCGTAAATGCTGAACTAGATCAGCCCTATAAAGATGTAATTTGTATTTTTTGAATATTTTGTGTAACTTTGTTTTTGAAAAGCCAAATTCTCTAGCAACATGTCTTAAAGATGAGTGAGGATTTAATTGAATGTACTAATTAGGTACTTCATTTTCCTGATCATCATTTGGTTCCATATTGCGTAGTGGTTGTCTCTGTGCATCTCTTATCGAAAAAGTCCCGTAAGTTCGTAAATTATTAACTAATCTTAAAAAAAAATTATGCGGTGGATGATATCTTTCGGGATATCGATTTGCATAAACCCTTGCAGCCTCCCGACAATGTTTATTACACTCACCATAAATTAAAATCATATCAACTTTTTCACTATTGTTTAACATTTTAAAGAAGAAAAAAAGAAAAATCTTTCAAAGTATTATGTTAAAAGTTATAAGTGTCATCGATGAACGTATAATACTGAGCGAACGTGCATTAGTTCATTTTTGATAATCAAACAATATCTACAATAATTATCGAAGTACTAAGAATAAAATTAGATATAATCTACTATTATCAAATTACTTATAATAAAACTGGAAATAATTTAATAACTTTTATCGCACAATAATAACGCAAATTACGTCATTGTCAATTTAGTTGGTAAATTTATTTTTAAATTAATTAGATTTACATTAGCTATATATTTTTTTTTTAATCTTTTTGGTAAAATCGAAAAAATGTAATTATTTTAAAATTTCAAAAAGCTGTAACTCATTTAGTTTTAGGTTTACAACCATGGTCAACGGATCAATATTACTTAGAATAAAATAATCTATCCATATCCGGTTACAAAAATAGGTGTTGCAATTTAAAAAAATTTGTATTGCGCATGTGCATACTACAAGAGTTAAAAATTTGAAATTTGCCCTTAAATGTGTACTTCAGTACCCCTGAGCTATTGCAGCAAACAGTATTTCAATCTAAGATTATCGGGCTGAGATATTTATAGGTACATTTAAAATGGGACACACTGTATAGGTACCTCCAAACCGGTAATATCAACTATCAAGGTAAACGATTTATATTCAAATACTCAATTTTCGTAATTCAAAACTGATAATAGTCACAAAATATTGTGTCATAAGTCATAACGGTATTGAAGTTGGGTTTTTTTCAATGAATTTTGTTATTTTGTACACTTTATAAATTAGTATACAATTTAAATGTAATGAACACAAGTGAGGTAGTTAAAAAAAATCCAGGAAGTAGCATTGATAAGTTTAAAGAAGTAATTCAACTTTGGACACTATTGATTTAATGCATAGGTATAATAATAATTTAGTTCCCTATTATGGTGTAAGTATTATTATTTATTATTCGAAAATAGAATTTCGTATATTATTATTTACTTAATACAATGAACTTAAAAATAAACAATTTGATAACATACAGAGTAGGTATAAATGTATAATATATTATTATGTATGTAAAACAAAGGTTTATTTTGACTACTCATCGGGTAAACATCAAACATAACAAACAAATAATAAAAAAAATTAAGTAATTAAAATATACACATCATAATAAAATCAAAATATTCATCGCTCTGCTCAGAATCTAAAATATTAATTATAGGTACCCCGGTACCCGATACAATTTAAATTTACATAATATTAAATAATAATTAGTAATTTTGTGATCAGTAGTAGGTATTCTTAGAAAACGTTAGATTTGGAATTTTACAAATCTAGTTGATATTATAGTAGGTACTGTAAATATGATGTAGGTAGGTACTTAGGTACTGTAGTATATCTTTATGTTATAAACTTTAAAATCCAGTAATCACATTTTTATTTAATAATTCATAAAATACAATATGCTTTTATAAAAATATGCTTGTACTTCTGATATCTATTCACCATCTTAATAAATAATTAAATTAATAAACGAAAATAATAATTTAAAAAATATATCATATTTGATATTATTATAATTCAAATTCAAAATTATATGCTATTTTGATTATATTGTCATATCAAATTTCAACCAACGAACAAATATTGTTCCTTATTAACACGGAACTCTTTGATATAAAAAGTTGCATTATATTATGATATCCGTGGATTAGTACCTAGTATAATATCTATCATTTATATTCTATGACAAATATCAGTCATTGCAGAAGACCCAGTCGATTAAAAATTCTAAAATTTCAATAAGCAGTGCAGATTTTATACGAGCAAAAAACTTACTGAGTTCAGTATAATTTTATTTTTCATAAATCACAATAATTTAAGTTCTATATTCTGGAGTGTTATTTCCTCGTCTTCCTCGCAGCTAGTGAACACACGTCACGGATTCCGCCGAAAGAGTCGATGTTTAAAGTAAATTTGTTTTCATATTCTTTCGGGGTTTCAATTTACTTTTAAGAATTAAAATAAATATTTAATGTCACGAAAAATGTGTTATCCAAGTGTTGTAGACGCATATTTTAGTTCCGAACTATAAATGTATAACATATGCGAGAATGCGAGATACAAATGTCGTCGTCGTTTATCCAGTCCCTGGTAGTAGAATAATTATAATTAATAGGTGAGTACCTATATTGGGTACTTGAAATAGACATATATGTTTTGGTTTAATTTATAGAAATACATGTTTTAACTGAAAATAGTCATAAGATACAATATTAATTTATACTGGTAATTTTTTTTTTCAAATCCAACGTTATAATTTATAGGTAACTATTTACTTTGTGTAACATAATATACTTAACTGCTATTGCTCACCTATACACTTAAGTATATTAAAGTTTTTTTTTATAAATAATTTGTTGTACCTATTTATAGAATTAATTAAAATATATGTAAGTTTTTTGTGATCGGCAGTATATATGTATACAATGTTAGACTTGGAATTTTACTAACCTAGTTGGTATTAGGGGAACATGGGGCAAAGTGGGGTAAACTGTACTTTTTATTACATCTTTTTAAACTTACATAAGAAAAAAAAATCAAATTTTCATAAAAATGTATTATCAATTACCATAACCTATAGAATGTGTGAAAAAAATTTATTTTTAAGTGAAGTACATGTCTAAATGTCTTTAGACATTAGATCCACTTTGCCCCATGTTCCCCTATAGTAGGTACTGTATATCTTTATGTTAACTCTAAAATCCAGTAATCACATTTTCATTTAACGATTCATAAAATAGGTACAATATGCTTTTATAAAAATATGCATGTACTTCTGATATCTATTCACAATCTTAATCAATAATTAAATTAATAAACAAAAATAATAATTTAAATAATATATCGTATTATATTTCAAATTCAAAATTATAAGCAAATATAAGTTTATAATATTATAATAGTATGATTATAAGCTATTTTGATTATTGTCATATCAAATTCGATGAACAAATATTGTTCCTTAACACGGAACTCTTTGATATAAAAAATGTCATTATATTATATCCGTGGATTCACCTACCATATGACGTAGGTACCTAGTATAATATCTATCATTTATATTCTATGGCAGATCTCAAAGTCGTTTCCGAAGACACAGTCGATTAAAATTTCTAAAATTTCAATAAGCAAAGCAGATATGAGCAAAAAACTTACTGCGTTCCGTTTAATTTTATTTTTCATAAATCACAATATTTTAATAGTTCTGTATTCTGGAGCGTTTCCTCGTCGGCCTCGCAGCTAGTGAACACACGTCACGGATTTCGCCGAAAGAGTCGATGTTTAAAGTAAATTTGTTTTCATATTCTTTTGGGGCTTAAATTTACTTTTAAGAATTAAAATTGGGTGACGAGGTGGCCGATCGGTCTAACGCGTTGGCTGCGGCGCTGGCAGTCGCGGGTTCGATTCTCTCGACCACTGGGCGGCATTTTTCTCCGGGCAAATCACGGTGCAGTCCGGAGAACAAGTCCCCCACCCGGGCATGGCAGATACCTACGGGTGCCCAATCAAAAATTCTGCCAAAACCCAACACACACGTGTTCCTCCCCCCTACCGACATTAACAACCCACAAATAAACCACTATACAGCTAATGGCCATAGTTGCCAAAGCTTAAGATCAATAAAAAAAAAAAAAAGGAATTAAAATAAATATTTAATGTCACGAAAAATGTTTTATCCAAGTGTTGTAGGCGCATATTTTAGTTCCGAACTAGAAATGTATAAAATACGCACGAGATACGTCATTTTTTTCAGTTTCCGGTCGTAGAATATTTATAATTAATAGGCGAATACCCCAATAGTATTGTGTACTTAAAATAGACAAATATGTTTTGGTTTAATTTATAAAAAATATACGTTTTAACTGATAATAGTCATAATTCATAAGATACAATTTTAATTTATAAGTGGTAATTTTTTTTTCAAATCCAACGTTATAAGTTATAGGTAACTATTAACTTAGTGTAACATACTTAACTTCTATTGCTAACCTAATATCTATATCATATGGATTAGGGACGTATAACCATGTACTCATAAAAGTAATGTTCTCGGAATGGTAAACTGCCTATCCTGACGTGGGCGCACTTATGAATAATATATTGATTATAGGTAGGTATAGGCATACCTATATAAATGGTGTAGTACATACAGTTACAATTATCCCAAGTATTTATGCATAACAATGTATTAATGTAATATAACAAGTTATATTTGAGATCGTTATTGACTACCTATTGAGAATATCATATTAAATTTACTAGGGGACCAACTGATCTATTTAGGAAAAAGTTCAGAGGCCAATAAGGCCTCTGAAATTACCGTTCGCCACGCCACTGCATACACGGATGCGTTACCTATTATGTCCCTAAAAATTCAACAGTTATTATTATATTTATTAATTTTTTGCATATAGGGAGGTACATAACAAGACTCTAATTAAAATCATATTTATTTTTAATTTCTCGAACACAGTGTTTTTAATATATAATTTATTGGTATAGTATTAAATAAATTAATGAAATAAAATAAACACACCTACCATAATTATTACTTATTAGTAATAATAATAAATGCATGTATAAATTATTAAAATTTAAACGAAAAACGATTCCGAGCAAAGACAGTAATATAACTAATAAATAATATTGTGATTTATTTTACTTTTAGGCATAATAGTAGCTCCAATAGTAGGTTAAAGTCATAATTGCCCAACAAATTACATTTTAAAGTGTCATCGTGTCTATGGATCTTTATTGATTCTCAACTGCTAATATAACTACTTAAGAGGAAACTTTTACTACATTTTCATAATATTATAGGTAAACAAAGACATTTTTGTATGAATATCTGACATCAAAATATTTTGTAAATTGTCAAGACTATGATACATTTTGCAGTTTTAAACTTTAAATGCCTATAAAAGAACGTGCATATGCATTTTTAATATTTTTTAACTGCTATTATATCAACTTACGAGGAACTTTGTATTATTTTTAAGCCTTTTGCCGCAACGAATAAAATTTTATTGGCATTAATAGAATACAGAACTAAAAACATTTCATAATTCAAATGTCTACAAATCGCTGAAAACGAGTCGAAATATTTTGAACATTTTATAATGTATATGATGGTTTAAACATTTGATGGACATTTTAAATACCGACGGTTAATAGTTGTTGAATAAGAACAAAATAAGAAAATCGTTATACGATAATCATACACATCGTTGTGAAATCAAAACATTCATTGCTCCCGTAGTCCGCTCTAAAATACAAACTAACACATAATAGTTAAGTAGGTATAATACAAATTAAACATTATACGTATAAAATATAATATCTACAACGCTTAGGTCATACGAATATTGTTGAACATTTTACTGCAGGCTGCGTGTTATTTCAGAAATTTTCAGTGAAGATTTGTCAACTGGGAATAATATATCATACGCAGACTGAAATGTGAGGACGTTGCATGGTTTCGAAGACTACGAAGATTTTGATTCACCACGGGCGCGGGGTATGTATTTTCTTATTTTTCAGTAGGTTTTTTTTTATTATAGTTAATCGATCAGGGGATGTATTGCCCTCAACTTTTCAATTATTTGTATTGTAACTAAACTATAATAATGTGTTTGGGAGTTTGGGTTGGCCTATCGGCTATAAATTACTTATAAATATATATTTATGCCCGTACGAAATTTGATTCCTTGAACCGGCTCTGGTTGGTTCTGCTAAGCATAAATATGATTGTGCGTGGGTCAGAAAGATAAATAAATGGTGCCCTAAAAATCTGACATTCTTATAAATGTTATCAAGTTGAAGAAGCAGTTGATTGTTGACAAATTGACATTTAACATTAACTTTGGTAGGTATGATAGGAAGTGGTAAATAACTAATTTAAGTTTGTGGACTGTATGGATTTTTATTACTATAAGAATATGATATACTCGAATTATTTTGTAGTAAAATATTTTATTTACACGGCGATTGGCAGTCGAACGCATACTGACACTAGACCTTTTATATTATTATATTATTACATAGTGCGAGCGATAGTACGACAAAATCCGGTTTACAAATTACTGCAGATAAAATATAAACGTCAACATGCTGCCCGCCTTGAAACATTTAAATAATTTTCAACATAAACTTTAAACAAATATTAAATGTTATAATACATCGAAACATAATATTAATATTATACATTACAAAATTAAGAATTACGATAAAATAAGAAAATTCATTTCAAATCAATTACATTAATAAATATATAGAACAGATAATTTTTTTACGATTATAATTAGACAACAAAAAAAAAAACATGTGTTTTATTTTATTAAATTTTAAACATTACCTTCGAAAGGAAGAGGACATAATTTTCTGACAGACCTTTTTACTTCCTTCCCGCGGCTCAAAACAGTTGCCACTCGAACGACCCCATCATCTCCAGCCTGCACACGTACTACGCGACCAAGAGACCATGACAAAGGAGTTATGTTGTCTTCCTTAATTAGTACCAAAGTACCAACGCTTAAATTTGGACCTTTTTTTGACAACCATTTTTTTCTGGTCTGTAGTTGGGATAAGTATTCGTCATTCCAACGTTTCCATAGACATTGCGTAAGTCGAGTCACGCTCTGCCATCTTTTCAAGCGGTTATCAGGTACAGACGATAAGTCAGGTTCAGGTACTGAACAGGTAGGTTCACCAATAAGGAAATGAGCTGGAGTTAATGGTGTCGCGTCCATAGGATCGGAGGAAAGAGGAGTGAGTGGGCGAGAATTTAAGACAGCTTCTATCTTTATTAAAATGGTATTTAATTCCTCATATGCCAAATGCGATTCGCCTAATACTCGGTATAGATGAGTTTTTATAGATTTTATAGAAGCCTCCCATAACCCACCAAAATGTGGCGATCGGGGGGGGGGGGAATAAAATGCCAATTAATACCCTCTTTTGCTAACTCATTATACATTTTGTCCAAATGGTCGCTGACTGAAACAAACATTTAAGCTCTAAAATATTTTTATTGGCCCCGAAGAAATTAGTGGCGTTGTCAGTACGACAGTACTTGTCACTATATATATCAGAGCATACACCACGACGACCAAAAAATCTTTTTAATGCGTTCAAAAATGCATCACTGGTCAGATCACTTACTAGTTCTATGTGGACAGCACGAGTACTAAAACAAACGAAGACGCAAATGTAGCCCTTAGTCACCGCTGCTCTTTTTTTTAAACTTGTTTTGATTGTGATTGGACCGGCGAAATCCACTCCGCATTTTTTAAAAGCTCGACATGGTTTTAGGCGTTCCGCTGGCAAATTTCCCATTATGGGTTCCACTATAACAGGTCGGAGTCTAAAACATTTAATGCATTTATGAAAAATATGTCTTGCAGTATTTCGACCGCCTATTATCCAATACTTTAATCGTGTATTGGCTAGCATAGCTTGAGGGCCGGCGTGCATCAGTTTTTCATGTCCATTTTGCAATATTAAATTTGCAATAGCGCTATTTTGAGGTATTAAAATAGGATTACGCTGAAATTGGTCCAAATATAGAGCATTTTTTAATCGACCACCGACTCTCATAATTACATTTTCTATAAAAGGTTGCGAATTTTTCAATTTACTTTTGTTTGGCAGAATAGAATTATTTATTAAACCAGTTATTTCACTTGACCAGTAGTATGATTGTGTTATTTTGATAACGGCAATTTCAGCTGCTCGTAGTTCTTCGAGTTGAATGGGACCAACGATTTCAAGTTTTTTGACACGAATTTTAATAAAACGCAAACAATAGGAAAACACTCGTAACAATTTATTCCACGATGAATAATTTTTAATTAAGTTTTCATTTACGGCTTCTATCAATTAAGTGATTTTTTCTTTTGCTTCCGGTATAATACCGACGTTAACGTTGATTTTTGATTTTGGCCAGTTTTCGGAATTATCGGCGAGCCAATGAGGACCCTCCAACCATAAATCATTATTTATTATTTGATCGGCACCGCAACTGCGAGATATTAAATCGGCTGGATTATCTTGAGTTCTCACGTGGTTCCATTCATTTAACTTGGTCATTTCACTTACTCGGTGAGCCACGAAAGTTTTCCACTTTGACGACGGAGAAGTGATCCAAGCTAATGTTATAGACGAGTCCGTCCAAAAGTTTTTATTTTTTATATTTAATTTTAATTTCGGTAAGACTTTATTTGCTAAGCGCGCGAGTATTACGGCAGCGCATAGCTCAAGGCGAGGTAGTGATATTACTTTTAACGGTGCTATTTTTGATTTTGCGCAAATAAGTTTTATTACTATTTTTATTACTCGAACAACGAATGTATAAACATGCCCCATATGCTAATAAGCTAGCGTCAGCAAAACCATGTATTTGTATTTCATAGTCAGTTTCGGTACCAAGATATCTAGGTATTTCACGGTTATGTTCGAATAAATGGAATGGATAAACAAAGAAATATTATTTTGTCAATCTTCAATGACTAAGTAATGATTTTACAGCTAACAGCGTCTTCTTAACTCTCTCAAACTCAGCTACTGCGTTTATTGGTCTCCCGTCTGTAGTGGATAAGACGAAATCTATTGTAACGTATGTTATATCATTACATTTATTTTATAAGCATATAATATGCACATTAGGCATATTATGCGCTGACTATAATAATACATTAAGCCCCTCCGGTTTAGGTGACACATATATATTTTATGATTGTAAGGCTCCGGCCAATATCCCTATGTAAGAGAATGGCAGTTCTCCGTGAGTCCATCACGTGCACCTGAACTCCGTACAATCCTACATTTTTGGTAACTTTGTTCGTAAATTGTAAGTTATAATAAATAATTTGTTTGTATTAATAATAATTTAGATCAATCGTTATTTATTTGTAATATTAAGATCCTAATACCATTCGTGCTCTCGAGCTACGGTAAAAATATATTCAAAAGAATTAATTTCTTCCCTGAATATCTTATATTTAACGGGTCATCCCCGACCACGTTACATATTGGTGGAGGCGCCGGAGCTCTTAAGTAGTTGAAGTTACAGATATTTACGATTGGTTTAGATGTTAATTTTGTTATTAGTTATTAAGTTTAGTTAATTGAAGCGTAGGAAAATAAAATTAAAGTGTAGCCGTGTTAAGAATAATTGAGGTTTTTTTTATTATTTAAGATTAATGATATACATGATATATATTAAGTATTTAGAATAAGAGTAAAAGAATTGAAAGAATTACGGGATTAGAAAATTTATGTATAGGTACCTAATAATTTTACTTTAAATTAAATTTTTTTTTTTGGATAGTTACGAGATTTTAAGTTTTAAGAAAGGAGTAAATTACATATAGAGATTTTGTTATCAGAGAAACTATATAGTAAAAATAAAAATGAATTAATTGAATTTTTTGTTTGGATAGTTACGAGATTTTAAGTTTTAAGAATAGGAGTAAATTACATATTAGTACATAATAGAGAAATTATAAGAGAATTATTTTATTGTAAGTGAACATAAGCGATGTTGCGATAAATAAAAGTATTTAATGGACAACAATAAACACAGTTTAAAAATGGCGTTTAACCATAAACCCGACATTTTCTCAGGAAAAGAAAACGAAGATATAGATAAATTAATAAAAAAATTTGAACTAATAGCTGTCGTGAACGAATGGAACGACGAACACAAAGTAATTATTCTACAACTATATCTTAAAGACTCAGCAGAAGATTTTTTTGAACAACTAAAATCAAAAAACGAAAATATAACATGGAACGAAGTCAAAAGTGAATTAATAACAGAATTTACATTAGTAGGAAATAAACACTTACTAAGGGCAAAATTGGAAAATCAGAAACTAGCAAAAGGAGAAACATATAAAGAATTCATAATTAAAATAGTAGGCATATGTTATAAAATAAACAAGAATATGACCGAAGAAGAAATATGTGAACACATTCTAAAAGGAGTACCCAAAGAAACCTTTCAGTTAATAAGGTTAGCAGATAATACATCGATCGCAAGCATTAAAAAAACTCTAGAGAAACTAGAAGTAACAAATCTATTGAGAACGGAGGACAAGGTAAATGGAGAAGTAGAGAAATTGACTAGAGAAATGGAGGTTTTAAAAAATCATATAAGTCAAATTAAAGTTGGACAAACCCAAAATAACATTCCCAACAGTATCAACAATTATCAGAACGAAGAGCAAACTAGCTATAACAATGGATTCAGCTTTTATAATAGAAATCAATACTACCAACCACCTATATTTAATAATCAAAATGAATATTATCAAAATAATCCAAGACCAAACTTTTATCTGAATTACAACTATCTCACACATAATAACCAGATGACAAACACCCAGTTTCCTAGACCAAACTTTTATCAAAATTATAATTATAATAATACAAATAATAACCAATTAGCCAACACACTACGCCCTACACAAAGTAATCAGGCAACAATTCCCCATACTAATTATAATTATTTAAATCAACAAGGGCCACCGATATGTTTTCTGTGTGATATTCCGGGACACATAAAGAGAAACTGTAATACCTTTGTACAAAAAAAACTAATAGTTCCGCAGATAACTGGGTCTGCACAGGAACACCAATACATTACCAGTAAGATACCTTTAAATATCGTCAAAAATACAAATACAAAAAATACTATTTATACTTATTATGATAATAATAAAGAAAAAATCAAAATAGAAATACAAGGAAAAATAAACGACCAAACTACTACGTTATTATTAGATACAGGGGCGAATGTAACTGTTATAAACAAAAATTCTATTAAATGTAATAAATTAACTTCCGAAAGCGAACTCTACCTTGAGACGGCGAACAATTCTAAACTAAACATTCTAGGAACAACAGTGGCTCAGATAAAAATAGGAACCATAGTAATAAATCATAAAATAATAATAGTTGACAATCTATGTACACCAGTAATAATAGGATTGGACATAATGAAAAAAATTAACACAATTTTAGATTTAAAAAATAATTTAGTAACGTTTAATTATAAAGGAAATGAAGTAAAATTAAAAATAGAGCAGGAAAACAAACCAAGAAATACCTTACAAGACACAAACAATATTACACAAAATAAGCAAAAAAATAATTTTCAACAATTTCTATTACAAAATTCAGAAACGTATAGAACCAAATGTAGATACCATGACATTATACTATTATAGGTAATATATTCACTGAACAAATAAATGATGCCATTGCACATTGTGTCAGTAAAGACTTCAAAATGAAGGCAGGGATTGCACAACAATTTAAAGAAAGATTCGAAGATGTAGACGTATTAAAAGCACAGAATAAAAAACTTAAAGAAATAGCATTTTTAAAGAAAAATAAACAATGGATTTTATATTTAATAACAAAATGCGCATATAATGATAAACCCACCTATGAAGACATTTTTAACACACTACAAAATTTAAAACAGTTTTGCATAAATCAGTCAATACATAATTTGGGATTACCCAAGGTTTGTTCGGGGTTAGATAAAAAAGAATGGGACTTAATTTCAAAAATGATTAAATTCACGTTTCAAAATACAGATATTACAATAAGAATTTATGAATTAGAGCCCGAACACAAAATAGAATGCAAGTCAATAGCAACAACTCCGGAAAAAAGTGATTCATCAACAATAAATATAAAATACGACGGAGTGGATATTACACAAAACGGATTTGATGAGTTAACACATTATGTAGAACAAGAATTTGAAAACATGAATGAACATTTTGCTGACACAATATTACCTCAGACAATATTACAAAACACACTCGTAAAAATAACGAAAACAATAAAACAATATGTAACATCACAAATTTAATAGATGGTAAAAAATTTGAATTTGATATTAACCCTGAGTTGGAAACAAATCAACAAGTAAAACTAAAAAATATATTGATAAGATTCGCGGATTGTTTCGCGCAACATGACATGGACCTAGGATCCATTGATATTGGATATATACCAATACCCACATTAACTGATGACCCAGTAAATTTACCACCATATAGATTGGCATTATGCGAACAAAATGAGTTACAAAGACAAGTCAACGAACTTTTAAAAGCAGGTTTAATTATACCATCTAATTCAGCATATGCTAGCCTAGCATTTTTAGTTAATAAGGCGGATAAGACAAAAAGATTAGTAATCGACTATAGACAAATAAACAAACAAGTACCTCATCAGAATTTCCCAATCACGAATATACAAACAATATTCGATTGTCTAGAAGGGTCGAAATATTTCAACATAATGGATATGCAGCAGGGATTTCTGAACATTCTACTGGGTAAAACAGACCGATATAAATTAGCATTTATCACCCCATTTGGATTATATGAATGGACAAGATTTTCATTTGGATATAAAAACTCTCCAAGACAGTTTTCTAAAGCTGTGGCTACTGCTCTCTCTGGACTACTTTATTTAGGCAAAATTAATTATGTAGACGATATCGTAAATTATGCAAAAACATTTGAAGAGCTACTTATAATTTTAGAAAAACTATTAGAACGAATTAGAAAAACAGGGTTTAAATTGAAGCCAAACAATGTAAATTTGGATATTTTGAGTTGAAAATACTAGGGCAAATCGTTAATCAATATGGATTCAAGCCAAATGAGGAAGGATTGGCAGCGATAAATAAATTTCCTATTCCAGAAAATATAAAACAAACAAGAAGTTTTTTAGGTTTATGTAATTTTTTTAGAAAGTTCATACCAAGATACGCTGAAATTGTAGCGCCTATAACCGATTTAACTAGAGGCCACTTCGAATCAAAAAAATCTCCTGTAAAATGGCTAAATAAACACACAGAAACGTTTAAAATACTTAAAGAAAAGTTAACAAACCCACCGTTGTTAAAACATTTCAGCCCAAACCTACCAATAGTCGTATGGACCGATGCGAGTAAAATAGGAATTGCAAGTGTTTTATTACAAAAGGACGAAGGTGACAAATTATTACATCCCGTATCATACATTTCTCGACGTGTCACTGCCACTGAGGAGAAATATAGTGCAATTGAACTAGAATTATTAGCAATAGTATATGCGCTCGAAACCTTTAGACCTATAATGTATACGGCACACACATAGAGATATGGACAGACCATGCTCCATAAAAAAATTTAGACAATATTAAATCACTATCAACAAGAATTCAGAGACTAAAAAGTAAAATTATAGACTACGACATAACAATTAAATATAGAAAAGGACTCTTAAATCAAGTATGCGATGCTATGTCCCGAAATCCAGTGTTTGAACCACCCACTATAGAACAAGAAATACAAAAGGATAATGAACTGACAATTTGCACAGTAAAAACTATTAATTCACACCTGGAACAATTACGTGATGATAATCAAAAAATTATTTTATAAATGAAAACGTACGCAAATATGTAACATCATGCATTAGTTGTCAAAAAAGGAAATCGGATAAAAAAGCGACCTATGGTCAAATGCTAACATCACCAAAAATTATTGGTATACCATTTCAACGATTTACAATAGATTATATTGGGCCAATTAATCCACCAAGCAATGGCAACTCATATATTTTGGTAGGAACTTGCGCAACTACAAAATACGTTATAGAAAAATCATACAAAAACGCTGACGCAAGGTCGACAGTCGCATATTTAATAGATATAATTTTACGATTCGGAGCAATAGGCGAAATACACTCTGACCGAGGCTTACATTTTGCAAATAAATTGGTGAAAGACTTACTAAAAGCGCTAAATATAAATAACACATATTCAATTGCATACCGTCCCCAGAGCCAAGGCCAGAGAGAAAAGTTCAACGGGACTTTGATAGATATGATTAGTCACTTTGTACAGGAACAATCAAAAAAATGGAGTCTATACTTAAAATATGTACTATTTGCGTATAACACAGCAATTAATGATACAACGAAAAACACACCGTTTTACCTATTACACGGATATAATCCAAAATCAATATTTGATCACAACTTCATAAGTACAGAAACATCCCCCGAAATTTTACTGGAATTAAAAAAATTTAAAAATATTCTAGACGAACTCCCAAAATTATTAGCGGACAGATATTTAAAAATAAAAAACATTATGACTCAAATAAGGTACAGGTAAAATTTAAATTAAACGAAAAAGTACTGATTAAAGACGAAAATAGAAAATCTAAATTTGCTTACAGGTACAACGGCCCGTTTAAAATAATGAAACAAGTATCGGATGTAACTTATGTAGTAGAAATAATTAAAAATGGACAGTTAGTAAACGAATACAAACATATTAGTCAGTTAAAAAAATATAAAGAACGTTAAATACTGCATTAGAATAATTGTAATTATAGTATAAAATGTATATAATAAATATAACGTATAATAAATGAGGAAAAAGAAATAAAATTATTATCGAATATGCTTGCCTAATGTAAACATACAAAATGTTTTTATTACAACACATAAAAATGTGAATTTGATTTTTACTTGGTAAATATATATTAAGAATACCATGTATTGTATATACATTTTTTAAATGAGACACGTAAAATTAATAAGGTAAACACAAGCAAATGTTGAATTGCAATATTCGAAATAGTCTACGAAGTACTAATAAAATAGTAGCTCAGTAAATCAAAAATCAGCAAAATAAAATAGATACTAAAAGGAAATACAATAAGAATATCAAACCTCAATTAAGTTATGTACAGCAAGCACAATTACAACAGTTTTAATTTTTTCTAGTACATTATCAAATTTTGTTACCCGTATAGCATTCTAACGATTTTCAGTGCGTAAAAAATCTTACGATATCACTTTACCTTCATGCATAGTAATAAGGTAGATAGTAATAGTATTATTAAATAATCATTTATGTACTTTTATTTTTTAGCATAAGGATAAATTAATTTTTTTTTTTTACCATAACAACCACAAAAAAAAGTGTAAGCAAAAAAAAGAGTGAGAAAGTTTACAAATTTAGGCGACTATAACCGAACCTTAAACCTCGAATCCAAGACATATTATGGTGGTTCAATCAAGACCGTTCACGACGCCGAGGTTATAGTGGTACAGCGTGCACCAATCCAAGTACAGACCACGATAACAGACCTCCCTGTTTCAGTACTGGTTGAGGCCTTGAGGGACCGATGACATCCAAACGACGGAACGGGTGAAGAATAATTTCGAAACACTAATATCGTACATGAGTATGATGTGGATTTATATTGTAAATTTATTATAAGGCATAGGTATATTATGTAAAAAAAAAGAGAGTGTGAAAACATGCGTTAGGCGTATATATACAAATGTAGAGAAAGGGTTCACATAAAAAATAAAAATGGTAGTAAAAAACTGGTTGAAATTTTACAATGACACTACCACGTCATTGACACTTGCACAATTTTACGTAGATTTGATTTTCATTATATACATATACGATCGTCAAAAACTGATGAATCAAGAAAAAATTGATATAGTGCTCTCGCCACTCAAAAATACAATTAATATATTATTATCATGAGTTTTATCACATTGATAAGCCCGAACAAAGCAGAACTAATTTTAATAACTAAACATAAAGATATAATATATCATATGCATATTATATGTATAATTAATGCAGACATGCAGTGTATGTATATTGTATACATATATAATGTAAATATCATTTATCACGTATTCACACCAAAACAGTGGTAAATCATCAAAATCATGTACAATTTCAATCAATTTAAATAAAACTAACCTTAATGATATATTTTCTTAAATTAAAAAAAAGGGATGTTGTTTAAATGAAACATGATTTATATTGTTATTTTTTTTTATATAGTAGGTACATTTAAAATGTTCAAAAAAAAAGGGAGGGGGTAATGTAACGTATGTTACATCATTACGTTTATTTTATAAGCATCATAATATGCACATTAGGCATATTATTCGCTGACTATAATAATACATTAAGCCCCTCCGGTTTAGGTGACACATATATATTTTATGATTGTAAGGCTCCGGCCAATATCCCTATGTAAGAGAATGGCAGTTCTCCGCGAGTCCATCACGTGCACCAGAACTCCGTACAATCCTACGTTTTTAGAAACTTTGTTCGTAAATTGTAAGTTATAATAAATAATTTGTTTGTATTAATAAAAATTTAGATCAATCGTTATTTATTTGTAATATTAAGATCCTAATACCATTCGTGCTTCCGAGCTACGGTAAAAATATATTCAAAAGAATTAATTTCTTCCCTGAATATCTTATATTTAACGGGTCATCCCCGACCACGTTACACTACCTCACACCGCTGTCTGCAGATCAAGACCTTTAAATTTATCAATTCAAAAGAGATGGTTACCATATATTATTGGCTGTATCCAATTACACGGTCCACATTTTATACTGACAACTATAGTTGCCTGTAACCAAAATGAAGACTTTTTCCCTTTTAAACCGACGACACGACTCCGTGCGATCGGCTTTTGCATGACTTCCGTGGTTTTAACTATTACTATAACGGATTCCTAGAATTTTACATACATACTGAACCACGTATAGAGTTTATTAATATTATACATTAATGAAAAAGTCTTTCTCATATGTCAAGTCGTTGGTATGTGAGGTGCCCAAACAACAATGAACTCCGTTGTAGGGGAATTGCCTATCCAAAGCGCCGTGTTATCTTAATTTTGTATTTAAAAATATTTTGTAAAACAATATTATTATAATATTATGATTTATGATTTACCAGAATAATGATCCCAATGGCAAAAAAAAATAACAGTAACGTCTTAACCATGCTGAGTGTGCTAAGTGATTTTGCTATTTTAGAAAACAAAAAAAATTTTAGAAACATTTTTACAATGGAACACATATTAAAAAGTTCAAACTAAAATTTCCAGAATCTTAAACAGAAAAAACTATGGTAAAACAGGCAGACACATTTTAGAAATAAAAAAAGAAATTCAGAAAACAATATACAGTTGGAAAACACATTAAAGAAATCAAACTACAATCTCTAGGATCTTAACAGAAAAAACTATTCAAAGTGATTAGTTCATTAAAGAAAGATTATTCATAGTGCACCTTCAGGTTATTAATGTTTAAGTCTATACAAAAAATGAAATAAGAATTAAATTCCTAAAAAAAAAAATGCATGGGATTTGTTGACGCCCAAAAGCAAATGCACTTTACATAACAACAAAAAAATTTAAAAAAAGTGGATGTCGCTCTGCTGTACAGTAGGTTACAAGTGGGTCACTGTATAATGGATGGTATTAAATTTGAATCCAATGATACAATATCATTGTATAAGAAAAACGATTCTGAGCGGAGACGGTATGTCCTTCTGGGTATAAGACATATTATATACTTATCTATGGTATTAAAAAAAATTGACCTATAATGAATTCCAAATTAATCATATCACAATATCCATTAGGTACTTATATAACGCGTTATACACCAACAACAAACCCTGATACTATCATAAATATATAGTAGTATACTATAGATGTTTCAAGTACCCACGAATAATATTATACAATCACAACCAAATAACTAAAATAGTTATTCTAGGTTTTTTATCATGTAATTTCATCCAAATTTGAACTTAAAATGACTATAAAAATAAACTGTGAGTATGTATTTTTTTAGATTTTTTGGTTACAGTATGAACTATTTATGAGAACCTTTGTTTTAAATTTGCAATCATTTGCTATAAAAACTGAACATTTTATAATTTATTAATTACAATGATTGATAGTTTTCGAGATTTTGATAAATTTTGTAAAAATTCGATCTTTAAATGCTTATAAAAAAAAATTGTGCATATGTATTTTTAATATTTTTCACTTGCTATTGTAACAATATATCAGGAGCCTTGTATTACATTTTTACACTTTTTGGCCCAACAGATAAAACTTTATTGATATTTATAGAAAAAAAAACTAAGAAAATTGAAAACTGAAAATATCCGTAAACAGCTCAAAAAGAGTCAAAATATTTTCAAAATTGTACAGTGTAGGTATAGGAAATGCTATAATATGAACATTCAGTGAAATTTTCATGTATCTACAGTTATTCGTTTTTGAATTACAACAAAATAAGGAAATCGCTTCATGAGAAATCGAGTGAATATCCAATGTTGTAAGAATTTGTATTTCAAACGCTCATAAAAATGTAATTTGACTTTCCGGTTTTTTTATTAATAAAGGTAGACAAACTTATGAGTAATCTTGTATCACATTTTAAAATCTAAGATTTAAAAAGAACAATTTTTACGAATTCTGAACTCAAAATAATTTGCTAATTTTCGTGATTTTTCCATATTTTGTCAATTTTTAGGGTTCCGTACGTTTCCCTACGGAAGCCTATTACTTTCGCTCGGCTGTCCGTCCGTCCGACCGTCTATCGCCAGGCTGTATCTCATGAACCATGAAAGTTAGAAAATTAGAAAGTTGAAATTTTCACAGATTATGTATTTCCGTGGATGCTATAACAACAAATACTAAAAAAAGGGATGGGAGCAACGGGAATTTTGAGTTTTCAGATGGAAATTTTTGTTTATAAATAGTTACCACGAGTGACGTCGTATTGTTAATAAATGGTTGCCATGAGTGACGTCGTATACAAAGATTCGTTTTATAAAATCCCGGTGGCCTGGAAATTAAATGGCCATTTGAAAATGTGGATTAATGTGAAAAGTATATTTATCTATATACGAAAACGAAATCATATTATCAATTTAATTAATAATCATTTTTCTTATATTTGTTATTTTCCTATATAAATTTAAATACAAAATACATTACATAAATAAATAAGAGATGAAAATATTGAATGGCCTGGAGGAAATTTATTAACCTGGCCTGAATTTTTTTCCCACCCCGCAAATGACAACAGACATTAGATAATGGTACGGAGTGCGAGTGCGTCCCGAAATTACCCTTTTTTAATGTTCCTAGTGAGTCAAGAATAAGGTATCATCCGAGTGCGTCCCAAGAAAAAAGGTCATATTTTTCACATAGCCCGAATGCGTCCCAGTTCATTTAGAGTTACCAGGGTGCACCACGAGGAGGTGAACTGGCTTACACCCTAAAAATATTTGGTTATTTGGTTATTTAATTA